CAGCCCCTCAGTCCCTGCTGTTATGGTAGCGCCGCCCCCCTCTTTCTCCAAAAAGCAGGGCCACAGCGGGGGAATGATGCCACCACCGCTGGCCTCACCCCCGCCCCCCGCTCCGGCCCCTCATTCCCTGCTATCATGGCAGCACCATCCCCCAGCAGGGCCTTGGAGGTGGGGAGAGAGACAGGCCCAGACCCAACACTGTGGGGGGAGGAAGTGGCAGGGAATGGGGTCGGACCAGAAGCAGGGGCGGGGCTGGATGCAGGGCTCTGTCCCCACCCCTGCCATAACGGCTGGGACTGAGGGGCCAGAGTGGGTGGGCGAGGGGAGGGGTGGGCACATGGAGCTGGATACAGGGGGGGAGGGTTATGAAGGGGCCCATGGAGCCAGAGGCACAGCAGCAGCAGTGTGGGACGTTGGGTGGAGTCGCTTCGTCACTGCCCACCCCCCACCGTCATTCTTGAGGGGCAACTGGCTAGTAGTTATATGTATATATTACTGATGTATATCTGTATCTTAATTGTTTGACTTTATTCATGCAATATTTACCATGTAATGTGTTTGAGAAATTGTATTTATATAAATGCTGGTTTTTAATTTCAGAGCAAAAAGCTATTTGAAGTGTAACTGTTTGATACTGATAGATTTAGAAAGACAAAATATTAATACTTTCAGGGTTTTATAAGACTGATAGGATTAATAATATGTATTCTGTTCAAGAGCTGTTGGATTCTTGACTACTTACTTGGATAAAGTATGTGACAACAAAGTTGCTACAATACAGATGCTGTTGGCATTTTCTTTTAATGGTACAGCCTTTTAACCGGCCTGCTTCTATATAGTTGTTGCTATGCTGTTAGTTTGAGTTGTGCACTATTTCACTTGTCTGACTTTTCTTTACTCCATCATCTTTTTTTTGGTGCAAATCATAGTTAGCCTTACTGTTTGGCTGCCTAAAAAATGTCTGTTTTTGCAAGTCTGAAACTGCAGATAGTAGGTTTCCGTGTATCAGCCTGGGAACAGGTGTTAGAGAGCAAAGAAGTAATAATACTACTCTCTCTATCCCCAGTGAGTGTGAATTAAGGTTGAATTAGAGAAGAGAAGTCTTGATATTGGATAACCTGCCTTGTATTGTGATGTACACTAGCACAGAAGCAGTGTTGTTTCAGTAAAAATTTCCACTTCTGAAAGTATTGTTTTATTCTGAGGACACTTGTTTTATGTGTTATATGTTGAGGGGCTTTGGGAGACTTTAATGGCCTACAGTGCAAAGCATATAACTCTTTTCTCTGATCTGTTTTTTCCCTTAGTCTGCGATCTTCAATTTCCAGAGTCTACTGACAGTAATCTTGTTGCTCATATGCACCTGTGCTTATATTAGATCCTTGGCTCCCAGGTTACTGGACAAAAATAAAACTGGGTATGTTAAGTCTGTTTACTTCTAAGAAGTTCTCATAGATTTCTTGTTCATTGTATTATCATTTGTATTTTTATAGGCGCGTTAAGATTATAGCAGGCATTTGCTCTCCTTAAATGCTCCTGACATAAGGGCATATCAAAATCAAGAGGATAAGAAGTCACATAAAGTAACACATGGTGATTTTTATGGTGGAAATTTATTTTATAACAAAACCAAGCTAACCTTGTCTTTTGAGTTATTTTGTAAATTTGTAACTTTCTGTCCAAACAAATTCTTATTAAGTTAGTAGTAATAGTAATTAGTGATACAATTAGAGAGAAAACAGTAATAAAAAAGACAAATTGGTAATTGACCAAATAATTCACCTTTCAGTTATTTCCATAGAAATACATGGCGTGTGTTTGTGAGTTTGTTTTTGTAAATTAGGTATGGAACAAAAGTAACCTTGCTTTGAATTTATTCTATATAAGTTCACCTTTTTTGAGGTATGAGTTTGAAGGAAAACTCTAGTGACTAACACTACTGTTGTATATTAAATTGGATTTTGAAAATCTGGGGAAGGCATAGAGATCAAGCTGCACATCTCCTCCCAGTTCCCTCTTCTTCTTCCTTGCTTTCCACACCAGGGACCTTCATGGGGCTGTGGATACTGGCTTTAAAATTAAATATCAAGGAAAAGCCTTAACTTGTAAGGTACTTTAAAAGTGTGCCCACAGCCCCACATGGCTATGTGGACACAGGGTTCTGCAAATGATGTGCAAGGGAGCAGTTCAGCTTCTAGTGCCCATCAGCTTCCAGTCTGCTCTGTTCAGTGACCTTGGTCTCCAGAAGGGGTGGGGAACATTTCCCTACTGCTCAGTGACTCCGCCTGGGGACCAAGAGAAAAGCAGTAGTGAACTATAGAGATGTGTATTTACCTGAGAGAGACTCTCCCAGGAGCAACCTCTGTCAGGTCAGAGATGGGTTATTTTTCTATCAGGACCATCATTTTTGTTCCAGGAGAAACTGAGTGCCTGTATGCTCATAATAGATGTGAAGGGTTGCCATTTAAATATCACACCTTGAAACTTACAGCAAATCTGAGTTGCAGGCCACTTAGAACAATACTGTTATTTTAATTTTTTTTTTTGCGTACTATTTTTAATAATTCATTAGCATATTTATTGCCCTTTCGGAGAACAATCTTCTAAAAATTATGTACTCTAATATTAATACTTTTTTGTCCCTAACTGTTTTTATACATTTAATCTGTAGCAGGAATAGTGAAGTATACAGCTTTCTCTAGTAACACAAAATATCACTAGAATTAATTTTGCCCACTGTATCTTGACACTTTCATCTTCAGGGGATGGGGCTTTGCAGTATATGCATTTCATATAAATACTTAACCTTCAGGAAACTAAACGTTAGCCTGGAAGCAATGCAATTATTGTGAAGTACTCAATAGACACAAATAAAATGGTACTTTCCACATTTGTGTTAATACAAAGATCAAGTGCTTAACTCATCCACTCTGTCAGCACCTTTTGAAAATATTATTTATAAAGAGTTGTATTGTACTTAAGTTAGACATTCTTCAAGAGTAAACACAGTAGTAGCTCCAGATTCAAGGACATTTTCCATGCCAAAACCAACACTAGAACTTTAATCAGTAAAATATATGCAATAAGAAGTTAGACTATATACCTTATTGACTATCATGTTACCCTTCATTAGCAGACACTATAATGAAAAATGAAGTCTTTCAGGAAGCTTTCCCTTTTCCCATCTTCTATTATTATCAAAAGAAATCCCTCATGTCAATGGTAACCTTATGACTTCCTTGTGTGAAAGGGCACACAAATATTTTCATACTTGAACTACAAATGGAAAAGGCTAGTACATTCTGCATATCTGTGTAGGAGGCTACAAATTGAAGGAATATTTAAGTGTGAAGAGAATTCTAGTCGCAACCTTTTATTACAGGGGTTGGCAATCCCTGGTGCTCATGCCAAAGCATGGCACATGATGCCATTTTTCCTCAGCGCATCACAGCCAACCCAGGCATTGGGCAGCTGCTGCCAGCCAAGGACCCTGGGCCGCTTGCCCAAGCCAGCAGGTAGGCTGCAAGCCCTGCTGCAAGCATACCAGGCTCTGTGGTAGGCAGGAGCTGCCCAGAGCTTGGGACAGTTGTAGCAGGCAGCCAGGAGGTTACAAATATCTGAACCAGGCTTTGGAGCCCCAACCAGGTTCTACAGTGGCAGCAGTAGCTGCATATGCACCTCAGGGGTCATGGCCTGGAAGGAGCCTGGGGCAGGCAGAGGGCCAGGGTTGCACTGTCATGTGCCCCAAGGCATGTGTACAGCCACCACCACTGCCACAGGAGGTTCGGAGCCTACAGTGCAGCTGTTTGAAGCCTGCCCACTTCCTGCTGCAACTGCCCAAAGCCCATGCTGGCTGTGGCAGGCAGCTGGGAGGCTGCAAACAGCTGCACTGGGCTCCATGGCAGCAGCAGCAGCTGCACGCACACCTTGGGATGGGCAGTGGGGGAGGGGCTGGTGTTGCATTGCCCCCGGTCCCTTCCTGGTTACATGCCTCAGGGCTTAAGTGTAGGCACTGCTGCCACAGAGCCTGTTTAAGGATCCAGAGCTTGGTACACCTGTTTGCAGCCTCCCAGCCACAGCTGGCCTGGGCTTTGGGTAGCTGCAGCAGGTGATGCAGGCTGCAAACAGCTGAAGTGGGGTCTGGAGCCCCAGTACTGGCAGCTGCACGTGCACCTCGGGGTACACAGCTAGGAAGGAGCTGGGATAGCGCAATCCCGGCACCTCCTCCAGCACCAGCAACAAGTATCAGGCCCCTCACGGGTTTCTTTATTGGTTTCTTTATTTTTAGTTTTGAGGCACTTGTTTCCTGCCACACCTAGCCATGTCCCTTTGAACATGCCTCTCTCCCCTGTCAAATTCCACTAAATTCTTGGAAGTAACATAATTGCTTGGTTGGAATAAGTTTTGTATTGAAGGAGCCATATGAAGATAAAATGTTTGGATCCATTTCTAAATATTGTAAAATTATATATGTATGTGTGTGTGTGTGTGTGTGTGTGTGTGTATATATATATATATATATATATATATATACACACACACACACACACACACACACACA